TTCAACTCTGAGAAATTTTATTCTACTTTCTCCTTATAATCATCTCATCTATGCGCTCTTTTCTCTTCTCTTGTAACTTCTATTCAACAGATACTGGAGTTGAGGATCTCACCTCCAAGGCTTTCAACCATTCTCACAAACTTCCCATCACCCTGTTTTTCGCCCTGTGTTTGAGGAGAATTTGTTTCCACTAATCTGCTCTTTTGGAGAAGGAAATGGCAACCCACTCCAGTAGTCTTGCCTGGAGAATCCCATGGACAAAGGAGCCTGGCGGGCTACAGTCCATGGGGTCGCAAAGAGTTGGACATGACTGAGCGACTAACACACACAATCTCCTCTGACTTGATTGGTTCTTCTGATCAGCTAATGCATTTTAAATTTCTATGTTTTCTCACTGATTATTTTTCATGGATACAATATCCTTTCAAATCTTGCTGAATAAAATTTAAAATCATTTAAAATTTATCTTCTGTTTCCTTTTCTTAGTTTCCCCTGATAATACTTCTTTGTTAGTTGAGTTTGGTGCTGTTCTTTCACGGTATTGGCTCCCCTCCCCAACAGAATCTTTGGTGATTTTGATTGTCCGATCATTTTTATTTGAGAGTCAGTTTGCTTGCCAGTTCTGTTAATCATAGCCTGTCTTCAGGACCTGTGAAGGAAGGGTACGGCATGCTATCCAGAGAGAGTGAAAGTTCCCTCTCACTTCCAGGGGTCAGTGGATACTTGGACTCTGCCCCTCTGGTCCCAAAAGCCCCACTAACTTCATCCCACAGGCAAACATTTGATATCTAATGCCAGCAAGGGAGGAGGCTCTTCAGTGAATTATTCTATCCTAGGCTCCCCTCCACCTCTTGTATCCTTTGACTCTGGCTTGGAATCCCCCTAAATGCTTCCTTCTCCTGAACCTGTTTTGATTTCCTCTCATTTTGTTTTTCTCTAGATCAGGTCCTGTCTTTCTTTTATATTTCAGCATTTCCTAAGAATTTCTGGAAAATTGATCACATTTTTTCTTATTTCCTTGTGCTGTTAGATTTCTGTTCTCTTTAAGACATATTTTCTTTTTAATGAGATTTGGAATGGAAGAGAAAATAGATGTGTAGGCTCAATCCACCATCTTGATCCAATCTCTATGTATTATTTTCTTTATTATCTCCAACTGTTTATCAAATAATACAAGCTCAATGTAAAAATTCAGAGAATACAAAAAAAGAAAACTCCTTCTTGTGCCAGATTCCTCTAATGTCCCAACTTATATCATCTTTTCTCCTGCTGATTTTAGCTGGAGCTGGGTCGACATTTCTGTGAGAGCTTACCCTCTCTTCCTGTATAAGTAGAAGTCCCAATTCTTGGTTGACAACTTCTGTCTCAAATGCACACCTTCTCTCTGGCCCTGGAACTGTAGATTGCCTGTTACAAGTTTGCTCGGTAGTTCAGAAGTGTGGGGTGTCGATATGGAATAGGGGGTTAGGGAGGCAGCCCCTTGACCAACCAGGATGAGGGCCAATCTCCCACCTTTCCTTTTCTTTAAAAAAATTAACTAATTAATTTTTGGCTCTGCTGGGTTTTCACTGCTGCACCAGGCATTTCTCCAGTTGTATATCAAATAATACAAGCTCAATGTAAAAATTCAGAGAATACAAAAAAAGAAAACTCCTTCTTGTGCCAGATTCCTCTAATGTCCCAACTTATATCCTCTTTTCTCCTGCTGATTTTAGCTGGAGCTGGGTCGACATTTCTGTGAGAGCTTACCCTCTCTTCCTGTATAAGTAGAAGCCCCAATTCTTGGTTGACAACTTCTGTCTCAAATGCACACCTTCTCTCTGGCCCTGGAACTGTAGATTGCCTGTTACAAGTTTGCTTGGTAGTTCAGAAGTGTGGGGTGTCGATATGGAATAGGGGGTTAGGGTGGCAGCCCCTTGACCAACCAGGATGAGGGCCAATCTCCCACCTTTCCTTTTCTTTAAAAAAATTAACTAATTAATTTTTAGCTCTGCTGGGTTTTCACTGCTGCACCAGGCATTTCTCCAGTTGTGGTGAGCGGGGGCTATTATTGTCCACCTGCAGTGTGTGGGCTTCTCATTGCAGTGGTGTCTCTTGTTGCGGAGCATGCGCTCTAAGGGCATGAGAGCTTCAGTAGTTGCAGCACCTGGGTTCAGAATCGCAGCTCGAGGGCTCTAGAGCACAGGCTCAATAGTTGTGACTCATGGGCTTACTTGCGGCTTCCCAGGTTAGAATCCGCCTGCCAATGCAGGAGACTTGAGTTCGATCCCTGGGTCGGGAAGATCCCCTGGAGGAGGAAATGGCAACACACTCCAGTGTGGACAGAGGAGCCTGCAGGTTTCCACGGGGTCGCAAAGAGTCAGACACGACTTAGCACCTGAACACAGGTGCATGGGTTTAGTTGCTCTGTGGCATGTTGGATCTTCCCAGATTAGGGATTGAACCCGCATCTCTGGCACTGGCAGGCAGACTCTCCAATACTGAGTCACCAGGGAAGCCCCCATCTCCCTGATGGACAATTCCAGGAGGTTTTAGGTACTCTTCTCAGAAAGTCCCTACAAAATTAATCCCGCTGCCCACAACAATGCCTTCAGTTATGAACCCTTATATGAGCTTGTCCTTCTTACCTATTTCACTCTGCCCAATTTCTCATTCCCGCTCCCTGGGATCTGCCATTTCCCTCCCTCATTTGACAATACCCTTTTCCTCTGTACTTCTAAACTTCCTCTCTCCCTCAGTCCTAATTTATCATTTCACTGTAACTCTATTAGCTCTAAAGCATTTGGAGATGCTGTCAGGATAACAGGCTCTGGAGCAAATGAGGTTGTATTGAATTATTTAGCTTTCAGCTGAAGTGGAGATAACTAAAGCAGCTGGGCTGGTTTGTAAAATCCTGGGGTAATCTGTCCACTGATTTGGTGCTTTTATCATATTAATTTTTTCCTTGTGGTTGAAAATTATAAATTTTAGGGCTATAAAGAAATATATGTGGGCAACTTCAGTTCAGAGCCACAATCCTAAAGCTAAGGAATTATCTGTTTCTGTAGTATATAATTATGTAGCTGCAGAGCTGCAATTCTATGGAATCATGAATCTATTTAATAAGTTTATGCACACAAGGCTTTTTAAAAACATAAATACATAATTTACTCCATTTTTTTCTTTCAAAAATAGATCAAGGATTTCTACTTGAGATACATGATAGTCTCAGCCTTTGAAGCTGGCCTGTTTTTCTTGAGTGTTCCTTGCCAGAATTTGGTTCTTAATTTTTAAATGAAAGAGGCCTTTTTGTTTCTAACTCAGTAGAAAAAAAAAAAAAGAACTCTTAAATGTTATCAGAAAGGAAAAAGGGTGGATCATTGCTAAATCTAATGCATGACCACAAATATTCTTCTATTATCTTCCCTATATTACTAGGATGTCTTGGGAAATTGAGCTTAATAAGGGTCCAGAAACCAAGATGGGGGTGTGGAGAGTTATGTGACTTCGTGGCATCTGTGGGGTTTGCCCCACTTAGCACAAATCAGGGTCTAAATACTCACTCTCAAGACGTGTGACTGCAGCAGGAAGTGAAGTATCTTTGCATATGTTCAGTATATAGACTAAGCACTCACATCTGGCACTTAAACACCCTTTTCCTGGTGAATCCTGGAAAACAGCATAATTATACTCCCAAGCAAATAACTCAGGAGCAAGTCTGTTGCATTGTAAAGAACACCAGGCATCATCAAAGTTAAAACTCTTTTCTACATCTTTGCACTTCACATCGTCACTGCCATCTCCAAAACACCTGAGATTGCCTGGGTTGTTATCTGGGTAGAAACCGTCCCAGCACGGCTGATGAAGAAAAGAGATGGAAACTGCGGCAAGGTGTATCACCAAGGCTTACTGAACAATGACCTTGTATAGTAAGAAAGTCAAGAAAGTGGACAGGCTTCCAAGCTGCCACTTCTGTGTCTCTCCCGAGGTGAGCGGAGGTGCTGTTGTGTTTCCTCTTTGGCACCAGCGTTTCTAGTGTTTTCTCGGGCCTACAGCATCCCACCCCACCCAGGCTTGCGGTGAGGAAGCCTCGGCTCCCTGGAAACCAGGGCCGGCCAGGAGGTGTCGGGGGCTGGGGTGGCAGCTTGCCTGTTGATTACAGTCCCTTTAACGTGCAAGCCGTGGGATTGCGCGCTGTGCCCCTCAGGCTTTGCCGGGTCCGCCCAGACCCCACCAGGTTTGCAAACAGAGACACCGAGCTCTCGGGCTGGGGTCGAGGGTCTCCGGCCCAGTGCCCACGCCAGCCCTCCCAGCGTCTGCTCTTACTGCCAGCCCCGAGAAGCTTGCCCCACCGTGCGCTTTCTAACACACCAGCCCCCGGGAACAATCTGTCTCTCCCAAACCCGCCGCAGCGAGGGCGCGCTGCCCGGGCGCCCGCCTCTCCAAACCTACGGCCTCAGCGGGTCTTTTAACATATTTGAAAAGCCTGACTGTATACAGGGGGGACGCGGGGTGGGAAAGGTTGGAGGGCTCATTTTCCTGGTCAGGCTTGCCGTTATGGGTGCACGAATTAGGCCGGAGCTGCAGCCAAATCTTTTCCCCGCTGCAGGGGGCTCGGGGTAGCGCGCGGTGAGGGGAGGTGAGCGGCGATGGGGGCGCTGCGGACCGCTCCGGCTTCGGGTGGTTCGGACTCGGGCCGTCCTCCGGGAGGCGGAGGCTGGCCGGGGAGCCGGGCGGAGGCCGGGCAGGTGGCCCGGGGCTCGGAGGCTGATTGGCAGGTGCGGGAGTGGGTGGGGAAGGCGGGGGCTGGGCCTGGCGCTGCGGGAGGCTGCGGCCCCGCCTCTCCGCCCCCGCCGCGGGACTATCTGGTCCCGGCAGCAGCGATGTCCCCCGGCAGGAATGTCCCTCCTCAGATAATGTTATTTATATCTCTGGGCGGGTCCGCGGCTCGGCAGCACCAGGCGCCCGGCGGCCGCTGTGCCAGGAGCCCCGCGCTGCCCTCCTCCCCCTGCGCCGCCGCCGCTGCCGCCCCCGGGCTCGGGGTGGCCGCCGCTACAGCCTCAGCGCAGGTGAGTCCCGGGAGCGCCCGGCGGCCGGAGGGAGCTGGGTGCGGGTGAGGATGCGCGAGGCTGGGGCGCGCGGCGCGAGCGCAGAGGAGGCGCTGGGCCCAGGGGGTGCGTGACGCACGGCGCCCAGGGGACCGGGTGGGGGCCCAGCCCTGGGTGCCGGGCGTAGAGCCCGCGGGAGGCCCTGGCGGCTGCGGCAGAGATCGCCCCGGGCGCGGGAAGCCGCGTGGGTTTCAGAGGCGCTTAGCGAGCTGGGCGCTTGCTTTGGAGAGCCGGATCCTGGAGCATCGCCCGGGGGCGCTGGGAGGGCGGTGAGCGGGATGCGTGTTCTGGTCCCGGAGCTGCTTCCCCCAGAACCCTGGCGTGGGCACGAAGAGGGTCTGCCTTTAGCCTGTCCGACCTCCCCGCTCCCTTCTCTGCTGGGTTTCTCAGCCCTGGGGCTGCTCAGATTCCCTTCTGGGGAACTTGTCTGCGCGCTGCTGGCAGCTCCGCGCTCAGGCAGGGAGGGAAGGGCAGCGGAGGGGCCCGGGGAACGAAGCGAAGTGGCCAGGTGCAGCCCCAAGGAGAGGAGCTCAGCGTGCCCCAAGCCATCCTCCAAGGACCCTTACCCTTCCACTCCTAAAGAGTTCCACTCCTCCAAGCTGCTACACTCTACAGTCACCTGCCTCACCAGTTTCTCTTTCTCCAACAACTTGGCCCTGAGAAGCAGCAGAAAGTGGGAGAAATTAACAGCGTTAAAACAATCCCCAACTTCCACCAACTCGCCCAGACTTCCAAGGGTGGGGAAGTAGCGGCGGGCTTGAGTACCGTTTCCGTGACAACGAGCCCCAGGTAGGGTTCTTGATTTTCAGCCTATTAATATCCAAACCACTGTTTTCAGTGAGCAATTAGAGGCGCCAGGAGTTAATAATAACACGCTGAAGGAAAATGAAAAGAAGCCACGGTTTAGTTTCTTAGGTGCTTCAGATGGGGGTGTAGTGGTGGATATCTAGTGACAGTATTTTTGCACTCAGAACTCCTGTGCCGAGAGTCTAGGCTGTCACTTCTAGGTGGGAGGCAGCCGTGCAAGACCCATAGCGGTGAGTTAGTCACGATCTATATACTTCAGTTCCTAAGGGAAGTGATTCAGGTAGGCTCTTGAATGAGAGGAGTCTGCAAATCAAAAATTTTAGGCACCTGTATACTATCTGCTACCTGATTCTTAGTTTCACAGATGGTACCAAATTTTATTCTAGAATTCCCTCTTTGATCATCCTCTGGTCCTATGACCTAGAGCAGGTCATTTCCTATTCCAGTGTAAGACTTTAACTCTTTTGCTAAGAAACCTGGGTTCCAGAAAGTCTTGGGCAACTTTTTTTTTTTTTTGTAAATGCAAAATATTTAAGAGTGCTGAGTGCTCAGTACCCAGCACAGCTAGGCTTGCAGTTGCCCAAAGGCTGTGGGCTAATTAGAAAAAGGAATATTAAAAAGCCCACCAGCCGTGAGACCACCTGACTTCTCAGAGGTGGATCGTTTACACAGAACTTTATCAAACCCTGAAGTTAAGTATAGCTGAAAGACATCAGCCCTACACTAAAAAAATGTGGCCTTTAGACACCCCCGCCCCTTAGCTCTTGCCCTTAGCTTTATAGGTAGTCCAGTCACAATGACTGGGGATGAGCCAGTCCTGTTAATCCCAATTCTCGGAAGACTCAGTCCGCTTGTGGAATTGAAAGCACCCCAAACCTTCCAGGCATCCAGGACGGGCCTGGGTGCACAGGCGTATCAAGTTTTCCTGAGTGGCTTGCTCTGCTGAGAGCTGGAATACCGCCTTTTGCTCTGGTCATTGCTTCTTCCAAGTGTTCTGAAGGCGTCTTTTAGCAGAACACCTGCTAGATGGTTAGCTTCAGGGTAGGTAAAGGTTGGCCGGAGGCAGACTCCCACCTGGGATCCTATATGACAAACTAAAAATGACTGTTTTAGGCACATTAGCTGTGAATGAAAGTGTTGAACTAAATTAAAAATCTGACAAATCTGCCACAGTTCTGGACATAGGCTGTTTTTATTAAATAAAAGTAATGGACTTCCCCCTCCCCCTGTTTTTTACATACCAAACCAATGCCTAACCTGGTACCTGGCTGTGGTGGACACTCAGTTAATCTTTGCTACATGAATGAGAGGATGAGTAAATGAATGCTCAGACTTTTCTTTATATAATCCTACTCAGTTGTCACTCTGCAAGGTAGCTCATATTATCAGCATTTTACAAGTGAGGAAACAGGTTCAAGGAGATTAAATAGTTTGCTTCATGTCACACAGCTGATGAGTGGTGGGGCTAGGATTCAGACTCACCTGGTCAACCTTCTTCTTGAGATTTGGCAGTCAGCAGTGGATATAGAAGTACAAGGTGGAAAGAGCTGGTTATAGGGTTGTCTCTTAGCTTCACAGTCTTTCACTCTCCAGACCTTAGGTGATACTTCTGCATATATCAGAGGAGCTTTAAAAATATTACTGAAGGAAAAAAAAAAAATTACTGAAGGGACAGGCTCCACCCGGACTGTTCCCGCCAGTGCCCCCTTCCCCGTGACAAGCCGCTGCTGACTTGTCCTCCACGGGAGATCCTCCAACCCTAACAGGATGAAACTTGCTATTCTGAACCAAACCTGCAAAGCCCCCAAGGTTCACTTTCAAATCACATGGGTTATTTCTCTCACACGGTGGCCACTTTCCGGAAGATCTGTTTTGCAGGAACAAAATAATCATGAATATCAGTCAGCACTTTGAGGAAGAGCAGGTATCAATGTTAAAATAAGTTATTTACATCCTGTTGTAAAATATATATATATATTGCTGAAGGTATTGGAGACTCACTTGCTCAGAGATATTTAGCCATGCCCACTATGTGCCCGTCATTGTTTCAAGGACAGAATTGTAATTTTGGCAGTAGTCAAAGCATAGATTTTTTTGAAAACAGATTTTCCTTTCAGTCGTGGACGTGGCCAGGAGGGCTTGATGATGCATGGGGACAGGGTGATAGGACAGAAGATAATTATAAAAAATTCATGAGGCAACGCTGTTGGACTGGGAAGGGACCTTGGAGGTCACTGAGTCTAGCCTTCTTTTTTGTGTAGCTGTTTGCTTAAAGGTGAGACCCAATGGTAACGTACCTGATGATTTATGTACAGTGGTGGTATGGACCTTCCCTGCTTCTTATCATTTTAGCTTGTTTCTTTCCTTTCTCCCTCTCAAGGCCAGTATTGGGTTTATTTCCTGAAGTTCTGCCTAATATTAAACCACTGCCGTTTTCTTTCCTTTGAGAGAGATTGTGATAGGGTATATTTTCATGTCCAATACTTCCATCCTAGTAAAATCTTTAAAAGGTATTGGAGAGAGGATAGAAGACTTGAAGGGGCATTCAACTCTAAACTGCTCCGTAACCTCCCCATTGCCTGTTAGGTGTACAGATGTGTGCGTTTTTGCACAATAGGTATTAATATCTTGAGTTGATACAGGTTTTAAGACAAATAATTATGTAGCATTTCTGGAGCAGTGAAGAAGGAAAAGACTTTAGAGAGTTATTGGGACTGTCAAATACCTGTTTTAATCTAAACCCAGTCTCTAAATTGCTCTTGAAGTATGTTAGCTTCTTATCATTTTAGCTTGTTTCTTTCCTTTCTCCCTCTCAAGGCCAGTATTGGGTTTATTTCCTGAAGTTCTGCCTAATATTAAACCACTGCTGTTTTCTTTCCTTTGAGAGAGATTGTGATAGGGTATATTTTAATGTCCAATACTTCCATCCTAGTAAAATCTTTAAAAGGTATTGGAGAGAGGATAGAAGACATGAAGGGGCATTCAACTCTAAACTGCTCCGTAAGCTCCCCATCGCCTGCTAGGTGTACAGATGTGTGCGTTTTTGCACAATAGGTATTAATATCTTGAGTTGATACAGATTTTAAGACAAATAACTATGTAGCATTTCTGGAGCAGTGAAGAAGGAAAAGACTTTAGAGAGTTATTGGGACTATCAAATACCTGTTTTAATCTAAACCCAGTCTCTAAATTGCTCTTGAAGTATGTTGTTCCAAATTTTAAAATCAAACACAAAATTATGCTCTCTGTTCAAGACCTGAAATAATAGGAAACGTGACCAGCGGGAAGTTCAGAGTGATATAAAGTACATATCTTCATAATTTTTAAATTATGACGTGCAGATTAACATTTATCAATTGACTTGGGAGGATCAAGAATGAAAGTAACTCTGCTATGTGGGCTGATGAGAAATTTAATTTTGAAATGAGGACTGGCAGGGAAGTTCATGGATACTGGGTGCTGAAATCATATGGATATGACTAGTTGAAAATTACCATGGAAAGAAATATTTTATCTTAAAAGTAGTTTATATCGACTTAGTTTTCTTTTCTTTTTTTTTACAGACAGCTGTTCAGTTACTCCTCTGCTTTAGATAAGAAATCTGGGGAGGAAGAGTAGATGCGGTGGTCTGTGTGCCAGAATCATCATGTAGCATTTGCTGGGTTTATCACAGAGAGGCAGTTTTCCCTCTAACAACCCCAGAGGTGAAGGTTACCTGGTTTCAGAGATGGAGATGGTGATTGAGGGAAGGTGTAGGAGGCAGTCAGGAGAATTCACTGTCAGGTCTGGCTGCACTCACTGAATTGTCAACTCCCCTTGGTAAATATTTAGAAAATGTCATAGCGTGTTTCCCTTTGTTGCTGTGCTTATTTCTTAACTCACAAGCCCCGTACTCCACCTTCTTCCATTTTCATCCAGCCTTAGCTGACTATCAAACCACCAGGGGATTCCGAGCGTTCCAGCTCACAGTTTTAGAGGGGGTCATAGGCAGAAAATGCCTCCTCAGTGGATTGCTATCTAGCTAGCTTATGACATACCCAGGCCTCCTTTTCATCTTTCTTTTGCCTTTTCCTGGTAACTAGAGATCTTACAAAGCTGTCGTGTCTTCCTACCTCAGCAAGGCCTTTTCAGGCTGTGTCATAATGTTTAATTTC